CTGTAGCCTGAGGAAAGGAGGCACATTGTACTTTTCCTACAGCTTCAGCTGAGTGTCCAATCAGCTGTCTGCCTCATACAGCCTGCTTCAGTCTGCCAGGAGGGATTCCAGCTTACTGCAGACTTTCTACACAATCAATCAATCAATATGTGATTCTTTCTGAATGTTCTGATCAAACATGGAAACTACAAGAATGAAGTTGTTCCAAAAATAAGAAATAAAGGTGTTTAAACCAAACTTTCCAGGTGTGGCATCATTGTCCTTTAGATTTCTATTTTCTCATATATTAAGTTGTGCTTTTTAACCAGTGAAAAATGTTTTTATTCCGTCTGTTTCACCTGCAAAATGTTTGAGTGAGATGTTTTTTCCCATAAGAAGCCAAATTCTTTCTAATAAATTTTTATGGTTTAACCCAGTGTCTGGAATTTGTTTTGAGTGTGACCCAAACCTGTTTATAAGTAAGAGAGATTAACTGTGTCCAGATCAGAACGGGGCTGATTACCACATATTAACGGCCATTTGATGAAATGTTCTCTCTCTGCAAAGATCAGAGAATAAAGGACCGACTGAGTGAAATCCATCGATCTCCTTTTATTTAACTAGGGTGAATAGTTGAATACTTTTATCCCGCTTCACTACACTGAGAGCTAGGCTTCATAGAACCTGATTAACCAGCAGGAATGTGGCAGGGCTTCCTGTCGTAGACAAACGCAGGTCAACAAGGCTAGTTTATCTCCATAGCAACATTCAGTTCAAAGACGATTCAAAGTTCTTTAAATGGTCTGTAGAACTTCAGTCATTCAGTCACATGCTGACCCGTCAATCAAACTATAAAATAGAAAAAAATAAAAGAAAAATCAAAGCAAATGAAGATAAAAATAGGAAGAAAATCAAACAGTTAAAACACGACTTAAACTAATGATCCTCGGTTTACGGTTTAACTCCCAAAGACTCTAAACTAACGACTTCAAAGAACTCAGGAGTTTCTCCAGATCCGTGGAGCATAGATGCTGCTTCTCTATCTTTGGTTCTAGTTCTGGGTGGAACTAGAAGACCTGAGTGGTCTGGGAGGTAGATCCACTGACAACAGATCTGTTATGCGCTGAGGTGCTGATCTATTCTGTGATTTCTAGACGCAGGCAGCAGCATCTGGATCAGCTGTCTGATCTA